TGGTTAATGAGAATATGATTTCCTAACAAGGGAAAAATTTTTTTTTAAAATTGGGGGGTCTCCATCCCCAGGCAGGGTGACCCAAAAAAGAAACACTTTCAAACCCTCTTCACACATAATCAGCTTTCAGAGGGGGCCCCAAAAACAACAATTTAAAAGTCCTTCCAAACAAACCAATATCCCAAAACCCCCCCCTTTATAGTGGAGGCAAAGTAATTTCCCCCCAACCCCCGGACCCAATCCAGTAACCGGCTTCCCCGAAAACCCTTTACATAAAAATTACCCCCGGGTACACCTCCCAAAAGTTTGTTTAAGTCCCCAAAAAACTTCATCTCCATTTTACTTATCAAACTTGCTCCCTATGCATGCTGTATGTTCAAGCCCCCTTTTCACAAAAAAACCTCTTTTACCCCTCCTTCCCCGAAACACTTTCGCATGCAAAAGGATTCCCCCCTGATCGGGGGAGTTGTTTTTGTTTTTTGACGGCAATTTATTTACGTACTCACTTTCCCTCTAGGGGGGGATGGGTGTCTCCTTCACATAAAAAAACTATTAAGTTGTCCCGACACTTGCAAAGAGAAAGTTTGAATTATAACTAAAGGATTTATTTTAAATTTGACAATCACAAATAACCCCCAAAACAGGAGAAAGAAAAATTATGATGATATTTTGGGCCAACCTTGGGGCCCTTTTTCCCAAGTCACACTAATACACAAAGGGAATTTTTTAAAATAATGTAAACATAATTCTTTAAATATTCTTTTCTTAAATGGGAAAAAGAAAAAAATTAAAAAACATTTGGCCGATTTTCCCCCCAAGGCAGGGGAAAAGGGACACATCACCCTTGAAGGGGAAAAAGTTTAGAAGACAAGTCAGTGGACCCCCGGTTCGCGATAATAATTCCCTTCCCGAGAGCTCATCGTAAACCAAAAATAACGGAAAGGGGAATCAAATTTTCCCCATAAAAAAATAAAGGAAATCCCAAAATTTAAACTGCAAGACAACCCCCAAAAGGAAAGAAAAAAAAAAAAATTTTTTTTACATAAATATTAAGTTAAATCAAAAGAATAAAAAATTAAAAAAAACAATAACAATAAATAACAATAAAAAAACAAAAGAATAATTGAAAATTTACCTTTAATGGGAAAACCCCGGGGGGGGGAGATTTATGGGAAAGGGGGGAGTGGAGAGGTTGTGGATGGGTTTTTAGCATTTAGAAAGGGAAAAACCCCCTCCCAATTTGGACTTTAGGGAGCAAGTCCTTTTTTCCCGGGGTTTCTTCCCCCTTTTTCTTTTAAAAGCCATTTGGACCGGTTTGAGAGTCACTGGACCTGTCGCAAAAACAAAAACTGGGCCACAGAGGCCCGGGACCTCTCTTTTTTTTTAAAGACTTTCCCAAAGTGGTTTACAACATTGGGCAGGGTAATAGTCACCACACAGCTTGCAATAGCTGTCTGAGGGGATTTTTCAAACCCTGAAGGTTTTTCACTTCAAGCCACTTTGCACAATTTCCTTAATTTTTTGAAGTGGCAACCCCTTTTTAATTTTTCCCCTCCCCTTTCCCCCGAAACAGTTTCCTCAGGTGTGGCCCTTGCTGTTGAAGTTTTATCTAGCAGTCCCTCATGGTTATTTTTTCATTGTCCCCCCTCCACCCAATCTTCCCATCCTCCCCACTAACCCCCCCCCCCCCCCCCCCGGGTTTCCCAAAGCCACAAAAGGGTTCCTCAAAATGGCATAGGCTTCCAGAGTTGCCCAAACCCCTTTAAAATCCCTTTTTGGGCTACACATTTTGGGGACAGGGCTTTTTCCCGGGGAGGGGTTAAGATCCCTTTTTTAGTCCATCCCTCCCCAAACCTTCCTATAAAATTTTACACAATTAAGGATTAAATAAAATGATCCTTCCAAAAATCCTTTGAGGCAATTTTAGTTTCTGTGGTCAAATCAAACACTTTTCAAACATAGCTTTTGTGTACAGTTTTTTTTTAAGTTTGCATAACCTGCTGGTCCATGGGCTGCAGGGGAGGGGTGGTTTTTAGGGGGCAAAAAATTCACCTTAAAAAAAAAATCATGTCCCCCCTAATCGCCCTGACAAATTGTAGGGTTTACCGGGGCATTTTCTAATACCAGGAAAGGGACTTAAAGGTAATTTCCCTTTTTAATTAGGTAATTTTTCACACTGGGGGCCCAAAAAAGGGCCCCTTGTTTTTAACCCTCATAGAAAAAGTCCCCAGGCCCCCGGGCCCAAATGTTTTTCCCTCCCAAAACACACACAAATTAGCCTTGAGGACATTTTTTTACCCGAACCTTCTGGGAGTTTCTGAGTTACACTAATAAAGCTTCACTTTTGCAATCACCACTAGCATTTGGGAAAACATAAAAAGAGAAGCCGTCTTTCTTTGGGTTATGTCCTGGGGGGTTTCCTTTTTTCCCTTTTGAGTTTTTGTTTACCTGGGTTTACCCGGAGAGTTTCCCGGGGGTCAAAAACCCCGGGGGCCCGGTCCCCTTTAACCCGGCCTCCTGGTGGATCAAGCCCGACAACCAGGTGTTTACTGCGGCTGCACGCCCCAAAACCCAAGTACGAGCCAACCCGCCCCCGGGGGGGGCAGGAACCGACTTAAAGGGGCTTTTCCCCTGCCACTTGAAGACCCGCCAGGGGGCTGTTTTGGTTTTAAACCCCCTTTGTATGCTGGAGGCAGTGAACGTCTTGGGGCCCCCGACACTTTTTTTGAAAGGGCTTTTTAACGTGCTAGTGGGCACCCCTTTTTTTTTTATTGGGGGGGGTTTGCAAACGTCTGCCAAGCTTTTGCTTTTTCCTTTGGGAGTGATTTTTTGTGTCAAGTTCGGTACTAGTCCCCCCTAGGATTTTCCAGGTGTATTAAAACATGGGACTCTCCCGCCCCGCGTTTTAAAGGGAAAAACAGGGTTTTGGAACCTCAAGCGCTCCCAGTTTAAATTTAGGTGTTTTTTTTTCCGTTATGCGCGCCGTGAAGGTGAAACCCAAAATTTCCCCCTAGATAGAACAAGGACCTGAAGAGTGTCCTCATGGGCTTTTTTGGGCCCCCCTAGTTTTTTAAGGGTTTTCATTATCCAACCCTTTTATTTTTCTTTGCAGATGCGAAATTTAACAATGTTTTGGGCCCTTTAAGGGGAGATTTCCCCCGACATGATCACCTCAGGTCTTTGAGTTGGTGTTTCGCTCTTTTTTTGGCCCGAATTTGTTTTGTACTCAGATGAGATTAAATTTCCTCGTGTTTACCATATCTGAGCAATTAAAATTTTTCATCGTTGAACTTCATATTGTTTTCTGCAGCCCACTGAAAGATTGGTTGATGTCCGCCTGAAGCCTTGCAGTGTCTGCAATGGAAGACACTGTCATGCAGATTCGGGTGTCATCTGCAAAGGAAGACACGGTGCTGTGGCTGACATCCTTGTCTATGTCAGATATGAGGATGGGGAACAAGATGGGAGCGAGTACTGTCCCTTTGTGGAACAGAGCTTTTCACCGTAGCTGCCTCGGACTTTACTCTGTCGACTACTAATCTCTGTGTTCTGTTAGTGAGGAAATTATAGATCCATCGACCGATTTTTCCTGTTATTCCTTTAGCACGCATTTTGTGCGCTATTTAGGGCCCTGGTCACACTTGTCGAAGGCTTTGCAAAGTCTGTATATATTACATCTGCATTCTTTTTGTCTTCTAGTGCAACTAGGCCTTGTCGTAGTGATCCAATAGTTGAGACAGACAGGAGCGACCTGTTCTAAACCCATGTTGCCCTGGGTTGTGAAACTGTTGGTTTCTAGATGGGTGGTATTTCTTTTGGACCCTTTCAAAGATTTTTAAAAATTTGGGATTTATGCTATCGGTCTGTATTTCTTTGCTTTGCTTTACTGGGCTATGCTGTTGTTTTTAGTAACGGGGGGGACACCCCCCGTGTCCATGCCCCCTCCCATGGAGGGTAAAGGGCTGTGTAGGGGCTTCTTGCAGTTCTTGATGAACAGGGGTTTTCCATGTCTGGCCCTGGGGCAAGTCATGGGCAGTTTTACCCCGTTCGAAGTCATTTGGGTCGGGAAAAACAGGGAAAAGGCTTGTGTTAACCAAAATTGGTTTTAGCGGCTTGCAAAAACTGAGTCATTTTGGGGACTTGAGAAACTCCTTTTCCCTTGCTGTATCTGTGTGGGAAACCCATCTTTTTAAAATTTGGGGCCCAAATGGACGTTGTTCTGTTTGGAAATTTTTTTCCAAAACGGGGCCTTTTCGTAAAATTAAAACACTTTTCTTTTTCAACCTTCCCCTATGTACTCCTTGAATTTCATGCAAAAATTTTCAGTGCTTTGGGTCTGAACGGGCAGCCTACCATCCCAATCACACATGTATACCCTACGATTCTTAAATTTTTTAAAACCAACCTTTGCGGGCCTTTAAAATTCACTCACATCACCACTAGTTGCAGGAAATTTTTTTCCCCAAACTCATGAAAACTCCTACCTTTTCACAAATGTTTTGCTTGAGAGATGCTTCTCTGCATCTGTTTTTCATTATCCCACCAATAACAGTCCTTAAAACTTTTTTCCAAACTTGGGGTCTTTTTTCTAATCCATTGCCCCTTTTTGCAAAACAGCTTCCTTGATTGCCATTTTCTTGCTCAATTAGTAGAGATGGCGATTGGGTTTCTAAAACCGACAGCTCCCCACACACGCACTCCACTTTCGACTTTGCAATTACATGACTTTTCTTATTTCAACGTCATCCACCCTTTGGGCTCGAAGGGTTTTCCTGGGGGCTTTCTTGGGGGCCCTGGTGATTATTTTGCAAAAACCGGCACAAAAAAATATAAATGATAAAATTTTGGAATGTACCGAATGACCTTAGATGCGGGACACTGGTGGTTGTAAAACTGGCACACCGGGCAGTTCAGGCCACACAGGAAAATTCTACGAACCCAAAGCAACCGGGTTTGTATCGGGAACGGCCAAATTTTTTTCGATATAATGCTTTGGTTACCGGATTATCGATACCCATAGCATTGCAACCGGGGTCCCCTGTATAAAAATGAGCCCTTAAATACAACAATAAAGGGAAAAGAGTGGGAACCGGAAGAAAATGTAGATGTGGGAAAAAATAAAAACAAAGGTTTGGTAAGGTTCGTCAGGAACAGGGGCAAGTGTTTCCCCGACGCGGGTCTTGTCAGATGATGACCCGCCTTGGGGAGCTTTTGGTATACTAACCCGAGGCCTTCCAACTTGCTTACCGGTCCACCCCTTTAAAATTCTGATAATTATAACCATTGTTATTATATAAAGAGACAAAAGTTGTGTGGGGAAAAATATACAGCCCGAGTTTTGATTTAGTTTTCTAGTTTTGATTAGTGGAGATTTATGATTAGTGAGAGTTTGATTAGTGCAAATTTGATTCGTGCACGTTTAGATTATGTGAGAGTTTGATTAGTGCTTTAGTTTAATTAGTGCAAGTTTGATTAGTGAGAGTTCGATTAAGTGCGAGTTTCCAATAGTGTGAATTCGATAGTGCAAGGTTCCAATTAGTGTTTCAGTCAATGCGAGTTCCAATAGGGAATTCAATTACGTGCGTGATCACTTAATTCGAGTCGCTCACAAATGATTTGATTAGTGTGATTTTGAGTCAGTGCAAAATTAGAATTAAAAGCTAGTTTTCCTCCCCAGAACCCCCTCTTCAAATACGTGTACAAAAATTACACATAATTTGAATAATGTGACAATTTCACAGGATCATGACTTCCACATAATCAAGAGCTAGATGTATTAGTTGACAAAGACATAAAAAATGGGAAAGCGCTCACATTTCATATCGGCCAATAATTTATACATGGAGTAGGGTAACATAGGCTGGCAATTTTTTAACACGGAAAGTGGTTCATATCCTGTAAGAGAGCTAACAAAGACTCAAAACTTCAAAAGGAAAGCATTTACAAAGGCTAATATTGATCAGACCATGATCCACCATGAGACCTGGTCACAGACTGGGCCGCAGGGGCGTTGACCCCCGAAACCCTCTCCAGGTATACTCCAGGTAAGATGAAGTCAAATTCAAGATATATTAATGAACAACTTCCAACATCTAAAGTATGACTGCATACAAGATGAATTCAAATTCAAGAAATATTAATGAAGAGGGATATCAGAGAGAGACAAAGCAGACAGAGCACTGTATGAGAGAGAAACCAAATAATGTTAAGTTTTAAAATTCAGAGAAAGAGAGTGAGAGCGAGAGTGAGAGAGAGAATAAGAGAGAAAGAGAGAGAATGAGAGAGAAAATGAGAGAGAGAAAATATGAGATGGAGAGAGAAGGTAAGTAGTTGGTATTTATGTAGGTAGGTAGGTTCAAGTTTCCACCATTCCTTGCACTGGATGACCCACACAGGTTTATCACTTCTTGAAATACAACACAATATAGAATAAAACAATTTGATCTAACATTACTAGCCTAATCAACTCACATTCATTCTGTACGTAACAAACCTATAAGCAATTTACATAATTTTTGAGTTCACTAATAGACTGCTCTCACAGAAAGTCAACGACCTTTACAGATCACAAACTAATTCTGTAAATAAGCCTCTGTTTACCTAATATTATTTAATGAGCACATTATAGTAGTACATACAGGGTGTTTCAAAATTATGGACCCAGTTTAAAAGCAGAATATACTGAAATTAGGTCCATCCTTTAGAAACACCCAGTAAAGGTTGACACTGAAGGGTATTGCCACTCTTTGATGTGTGTTCCTAGCTCTTGCTACTCTTTGTTAAACAAATGCATAATATTTATGGCTATTATTTACTACAGAATTAAACTTATCAAAAATCCCATGATAACCTTTTTGCAAGTGGCTAGCCTCATAATTTTTCAAATACAGTAGAAATCTTTTCAAATCCAAAATTCTCAAAACCTGAAGCCCTTCTGGTCACAAGCATTTCAGATAAAGGATTCTCAACTGTATGATGGAAAATAATAATCCAGAATTTGTAAACATATCTTAATTGCTCCACTATGTTTTTTATCATTTATATGGTCCACTAGATTACAGGTGGAAAAAGTATATGGTTTGAAAACTATTAAATTTTAACATTAATGATAATAATAATGAGGAGGGGTGGAGGTAAGTTGCAGTTCTGGATTAGCCCAATGACCCACCCAGTCTGGTCACCTCCACTCAAGGAAGGAGCACGGCACCAGACCCAGCAGCACAAGCTAGTCAGATCCAACTCACACCCACCCACACCCACTCATGTATTTATTTAACTTATTTTTAAAACTAACACTTTTAGCCTCATTACTAACAGTACTCCCGGGAAGTTGTTCCCCTCATCCACAACTCTATTACCAAACCAGTGCTTTCCTATATCCTTCCAGAATCTGAATTTTTCCAACTTGAAACCACTGCTGCGAATCCTGGCTTAGATGGAAATTATCAGCACGCTCTTTACATCCCCTTATTTATTCCTGTTTTTCCATCTATACCCTTGATCCATATTCCCCCTAATTCTAACGCCTTTTGAGAGAGTGCAGATTCCTGGCCCTCATCTATCTCATATGGGAAGATTTCTGATACGGTGGGATCATCTTTGACATCCTCCTCTGTACGGTTATCCAGAGCATTCATATCCATTCTGTAATATGGTGACCAGTAACTGAGCAGCATAGTCTTAAATGAGGCCTAACCAAGGATATATAGAGTGAAGAACAACCTGAGGACTTCTATTTATTTATACTTCAAGATATGAAGCCAAGAATTCTGTTAGCTTTATTGCGAACACAAATGCACTGTTGTCTTGGGTTTTAGATTACTGCTAACCAGAACTCTAAATCCTTTTCGCAATCAATAGTATTAAGAATCTACATTATTTAGTTATATATGCTGCACCGTTAATTTCCTGTCCCAACATATAGAAATTGCATTTGTCTATAGTAAACTAACATCTGCCACTTCCTATCTCCGACCATTGCAAGCATCTATTCAAATCATCCAGGATTGCTCTAGTGTCCTCATTAAATGAAATTGGGACGGTCCTTTTTGGTGTCAATCAGCAATTTTGCTTTTTTTTTTTTTTTTTTTTTTTCTTTTTTTTTTTTTTTAAATGTCGCTATTATTCATTCCCTCCTCTATTTCAATTTTATGTAACTGTGAACAACCAACAGGACCAACACTGACCCCTGAGGAACACCGCTTGTGACGTGCACCCATTCTGATTTCTCCCCATTTATGCAAACTCTCTTCTGTCCTAATTTGTCAGCGGGCCGCCTTTTTTCTAGCACGACTGATGGAGTGAGTGATGATGAAGAAGTGTTTTCTCTCTTTCCGGGTTCACCTCCTTGTAGAAACAGCCGATGTGTCAGAAAGAAAATAATAATAATAATAGGCAAGGGGCTAGTAACCCCTTCTCCTGTATATATTACTAAATTTTAAAGGAGAAACTTTTGTTTTTCCTTTTGGGCCACCCCACCTCAGTGGGATATGGTTGGTACGTTGAAAGAAAGAATAATAATACAGTATTAATAATAATAATAATACCTTTGCTACTTAGTGGCTGGTGAGAATTAAGAAGAATGGTAGTAGTTCCTGCTGATGGTATGGGGGAGACAGAACTGGTGGAGCCACTGCTTGATGGAGTAGCAGGAACTGGACCAGAAGCAACAGCAGGATGGGGTCTCTTACTCTCCGAAGCCGAGTACTGAGGAAGTGGGGGCACAGGAGGTGGGGGCAAGTCTGGTGGCACTTTTCCAGGGAGGTCATTGTAGTATTCAGGGTCATCACGACCCCAGCTTGTTCCCTCACCATTAATCCCAGGCCTAAAATAGTACATTAAGAGAGATAAACAAACAAATGTTAAAGTACTGCAGTTTTTAATTTTTCGCAGAATATGCCGGCCAAAACTGGAGGGAACCTTACATGTTCTTGCACCTTATATGCCAGAAAACATAGTACTGTACATAGCAAATTTTTTTGGTTTTACCCTCCCTCATTATACATATATGCTATTTAACCCTTTCAGGGTCGACAGGCCCTCTCAGAGACTTGTTCTCAGGGTCGGCCAAATTTCAAAAAAAAAAAAAAAAAAAAAAAAAAAAAAAATTCTTATGAAAAGATAGAGAATCTTTTCCCGATCATAATGACACCAAAAGTATGAAATTTGATGGAAAACTTACGGAATTATGCTCTCGCGAAGTTAGCGGTCTCGACGATGTTTACTCATTGGCGATTTTGCCCACTTTGAGCCCTATTTTCGGCCAATTCCAGTGTGCTTGTCGACAAAAATCATAACTGTTTCACTAGAACTCCATTTTTTCTATCGAATGAGTACAAGAAACCACCCATTTACTGATTTCAACTATCCAATACAGTGGTCAGAATTTAGCAAATTTGCCAATTTCACACAAATTTCAAAGATCCAATTTCCAATAGGGTCCAGAAAAAAACAAGAAAGACATTCCTGGCACTAAAATAACATTTCCTCTGTTCATTAGTCACGTCCCTATGCCCTCTTACATTCTTTTGCTTTCCACTTTGAATTTTTATTCTCAACAAAAAAATAGAAGATTTTACTGTTATGCAAAACCCACTGCATTAGTGTAGAAATGGTATAAATAATATCGGCACACTTGTGAAAGAAATTAGACTCACCAGTTGACGTGTATTGGACGCATAGCATGATTTGTTTACTTTTGAACTTGGTAAAATCGAACATTTCTGCTGCTTTAAGCTCAATTTCAAGGTACTTTTCTTTGTAAAACCAGTCAAAATCATCTCAATTTCTGTAATATGACTTCCATTCTATAAAGTGAGACCAAGAAAACTAGAATACAACAATAAATACCATACAAAAATACAGTGCAAAATCGCTGTTTTAATCCAAAAACACGGTCAAAGTTTTTTTTGTTCTCATTACACACTGTGTGCTGCAGGATTTTTTTTATACTGCGCACACTGACCACATAGACCCATTCTTTCATATGTAGGCCTACCAGCTTTCTCTCACTAGATTTGAGGGCGCTAGAATTTAGGTGTACTAGTACGTCAAAAACCCTGGTGCGTAAGCCGTACTAGTACGGCCGAAACCCTGAAAGGGTTAATACAGTACTTATGTTTGAACACATGCAATATAACTGGAAAACTTATTTAGTACACATATAACAAGCACATAGGAGAATGAACCTTATGATGACATTTTGGTCTGACTTAGACCATTAATGTCATCATAAATTTCATTCTACTATGTGCAGGTTATTTATGCATTGTTCCAGTCACAGTACTGTGCCTTTTTATTTGTTGTTGCATATGATATTAATTTTAAACAGTAGAAGAGATTCTGATATCAAAGAAAAGTGATATTAGATGTATAAACCACAGTTAAAGCTCCTCTGGTGATTGGCTAATGAACTTCCAGGGTATAAAATTTTTACTCAGGCATATAAAAGAAAACTAAAAGAGCCCAACTCTTTAAAACTGCAGGAAACTTACTTGTCAGATTTGACGCTGGTGTATTGGACGGACGGCGTTCGCTTGAGGTACTCCTTAAACCTGAGCTCAAAGGCCTGCCCAATGGTAGTTATGACATCCTGAGCCAGGCCTCCCCCACACTCCAACACAAAACATGCACGCCCATACCGGCTGTCTTTGGCTACATACGCAATGAAGTCCAAGGTGTCCTGTAAGTTAATACACCATTTATTAACTTCTTTGTTGTTAAATACTGTAAGTTCATAAGCCCACTTATTAACTCCTTTATTATTAAATACAGTAAGTACATATATACACCCACTTATTAACTCCTTTATTATTAAATACAGTAAGTACATATATACACCCACTTATTAACTTCTTTATTATTATATACAGCGTCTCCTCATTTAACGATGGGGTTTCGTTCCTAAGACTGTGTTGATATGACTTAAGAAATCGTAATGACACGATTGCAAATAAACCATACCCCCGGCCGGGATTGAACCCGCGGTCATAGAGTCTCAAAACTCCAGCCCGTCGCGTTAGCCACTAGACCAGCTAGCCACAATAAGATTCATTCAACTAGGTATATTTCTACACCATAGGAAAGTTAGCACAGGCACCTCTGTGACCACAAATGCAAGTTTTTACAGACGAATCTCCAGCTAGCGTGGCCGTGACGAACTCTAGCTCAAGTCCCTTCACTGCCGTCAACATGACTTAAGAAATCGTAATGACACGATTGCAAATAAACCATACCCCCGGCCGGGATTGAACCCGCGGTCATAGAGTCTCAAAACTCCAGCCCATCGCGTTAGCCACTAGACGGCAGTGAAGGGACTTGAGCTAGAGTTCGTCACGGCCACGCTAGCTGGAGATTCGTCTGTAAAAACTTGCATTTGTGGTCACAGAGGTGCCTGTGCTAACTTTCCTATGGTGTAGAAATATACCTAGTTGGATGAATCTTATTGTGGCTAGCTGGTCTAGTGGCTAACGCGACGGGCTGGAGTTTTGAGACTCTATGACCGCGGGTTCAATCCCGGCCGGGGGTATGGTTTATTTGCAATCGTTCATTACGATTTCTTAAGTCATGTTGACGGCAGTGAGGGACTTGAGCTAGAGTTCGTCACGGCCACGCTAGCTGGAGATTCGTCTGTAAAAACTTGCATTTGTGGTCACAGAGGTGCCTGTGCTAACTTCCTATGGTGTAGAAATATACCTAGTTGGATGAATCTTATTGTGGCTAGCTGGTCTAGTGGCTAACGCGACGGGCTGGAGTTTTGAGACTCTATGACCGCGGGTTCAATCCCGGCCGGGGGTATGGTTTATTTGCAATCGTGTCATTATGATTTCTTAAGTCATGTTGACGGCAGTGAAGGGACTTGAGCTAGAGTTCGTCACGGCCACGCTAGCTGGAGATTCGTCTGTAAAAACTTGCATTTGTGGTCACAGAGGTGCCTGTGCTAACTTTCCTATGGTGTAGAAATATACCTAGTTGGATGAATCTTATTGTGGCTAGCTGGTCTAGTGGCTAACGCGACGGGCTGGAGTTTTGAGACTCTATGACCGCGGGTTCAATCCCGGCCGGGGGTATGGTTTACTGTGTTGATAAATGAATTCGTCGCTAATTGAGGAACCACCCTTACCGATACTTCAAGCATTTATAACCACCATTTAAAACATTCATGAATGAGGCCTTTCTGCTGTCTAGTTATTATCACTTGAAATCCTGTTGATGCTTTCACTGCCTCTTTCCCTCTATCTTTATCCTTCAAGATAGTGAAAATGGTAGAATGTGCCAGTCACTGGCTATCACTTGCACTTTCTAACCAGCTTTATATTCGTTTATAATCTTCATTTTCACCTCAAGATCAATAGCCTTCCTTTGTTTCTTGGTGCTTCCTTCAGGTGAAGTCAAGATCTCTCTTTTCGCCAATATCTTGTACCACGGGGTGCACAATAAAGTACGAATTTGCAAAATATAGCCTTGGAGACTGAAATCTAGTGTACTGAGTGGCTGAGGAAAGAAGACTGAGATGCTTGACGCTGAGATGCTGCACATTTCCACGACCCAAGTTCTCATATGGCATACAATATCGGGTGGTCGGAGAGCCCGTCATAATTCCAAGTTGTCAGCAAACTAGTATGTTGCTAAGTCAGGAGAGGCTGTACTGTAAGTTTATACACCCATTTATTAATGTTTTTATTATTAAATACTGCCTCTCCTCACTTAACCCTTAAACTGTCCAAACGTAGATCTACGTTTTTTCAACATTTGAAAGTATGTAAAAAAAACATAGATCTAGTTCTGGAGCACTACGCATGTGAACGTAGATCTGCTTGGACAGTTTAAGGGTTAACGATGGAGTTTCGTTCCTAAGACTACATCAGTAAATGAATTCGTCGCTAAGCAAGGAGCGTATGTACTATAATGTTAGTGGGTTTGTGTCAACCATCTTTGATATTGTTTTAACGTCACCTTTGTACCATTTATAACATCTTTAGCATATTTTTAAATGTTTATACAATACTCTACTGTATACTGCAATAAATAGAAGAGAGGAAATCAACTCTAATATACATTATTTAGGTATACATACTGGTTGGAGAGTCAGTCGTAAGTCCGAGTCGTCGGTAAAACAGTGACGAGACGTTGTATTGTAAATTTATACACCCATTTATTAACTTCTTTATTGTTGAATACTGTAAGTTTATGCACCCACTTATTAACTTTTTTATTATTAATACTGTAATTTATATTTTAATGACTGATCTATCCATTTAAAAACATTACTGATTTAAAACTGAAAGATGTTGAACTAGTAAATGAAAACTAAATGTCTTTAAAACTAGTGAACGAAAACTCTCTTAAAAACCAGTGAATGGAAACTATCTTAAAAAACCAGTCAATAAAAACTGTCTTAAAAACCAGTGAATGGAAACTATCTTAAAAAAACAGTGAATAAAAACTGTCTAAAAAACCAGTGAATGGAAACTATCTTAAAAAAACAGTCAATAAAAACTCTCTTAAAAACCAGTGAATGGAAACTATCTTAAAAAAACAGTCAAAAAAAACTCTCTTAAAAACCAGTGAATGGAAACTATCTTAAAAAAACAGTCAATAAAAACTCTCTTAAAAACCAGTGAATGGAAACTATCTTAAAAAACCAGTCAATAAAAACTCTCTTAAAAACCAGTGAATGGAAACTATCTTAAAAAACCAGTGAATAAAAACTGTCTAAAAAACCAGTGAATGGAAACTATCTTAAAAAAACAGTCAATAAAAACTCTCTTAAAAACCAGTGAATGGAAACTATCTTAAAAAACCAGTCAATAAAAACTGTCTTAAAAACCAGTGAATGGAAACTATCTTAAAAAAACAGTCAATAAAAACTCTCTTAAAAACCAGTGAATGGAAACTATCTTAAAAAACCAGTGAATAAAAACTGTCTAAAAAACCAGTGAATGGAAACTATCTTAAAAAACCAGTGAATAAAAACTGTCTTAAAAACCAGTGAACAAAAGCTGTCTTAAAACCAGTGAACGAAAACTACTGAAAAATATCTTCGTAATAGACTCAAAACTACAGTGCTTCTTAAAAAACTGGTGGCCTGGTGGTTAACGCTCTCGCTTCACACGGTGAGGGCCTGGGTTCGATTCCCAGCCAGAGTAGAAACATTGGATGTGTTTCTTTCCACCTGTTGTCTATGTTCCCCATCAGTAAAATGGGTACCTGGGTGTTAGTCGACTGGTGTGGGTCGCATCCTGGGACACTGACCTAAGGAGGCCTGGTCACAGACCAGGCCGCGGGGGCGTTGACCCCCGGAACTCTCTCCAGGTAAACACAGAGATATATTTAAGAATTTCAACCTCCTTTGCAAAGCAACTACAGTAAGTTAAAACAAATATTTACTACTATCAACAGTATCAACAATTCTGCCAAAATATTAATTTTATTAGTCTGTGTCTAGAGGATTGCAATATCATGACAAATCTGGTTGTTGCTATATTATCTTGAAATAATCTTCCTGTTATATTATTAGGAAACAATCTTCCTGTTATTATTTTTTATTAACACACTTGCCGATTCCCACCAAGGCAGGGTGGCCCGAAAAAGAAAAACTTTCACCATAATTCACTCCATCACTGTCTTGCCAGAAGGGCACCTTACACTTCAGTTTTTAAACTGCAACATTAACACCCCTCCTTCAGAGTGCAGGCACTGTACTTCCCATCTCCAGGACTCAAGTCCGGCCTGCCGGTTTCCCTGAATTCCTTCATAAATGTTACTTTGCTCACACTCCAACAGCACGTCAAGTATTAAAAACCATTTGTCTCCATTCACTCCTATCAAACACGCTCACGCATGCCTGCTGGAAGTCCAAGCCCCTCGCACACAAAACCTCCTTTACCCCTCCCCTCCAACCTTTCCTAGGCCGACCCTACCCCCGCCTTCCTTCCACTACAGACTGATACACTCTTGAAGTCATTCTGTTTCGCTACATTCTCTCTACATGTCCGAACCACCTCAACAACCCTTCCTCAGCCCTCTGGACAACAGTTTTGGCAATCCCGCACCTCCTCCTAACTTCCAAACTACGAATTCTCTGCATTATATTCACACCACACATTGCCCTCAGACATGACATCTCCACTGCCTCCAGCCTTCTCCTCGCTGCAACATTCATCACCCATGCTTCACACCTATATAAGAGCGTTGGTAAAGCTATACTCTCATACATTCCCCTCTTTGCCTCCAAGGACAAAGTTCTTTGTCTCCACAGACTCCTAAGTGCACCACTCACCCTTTTCCCCTCATCAATTCTATGATTCACCTCATCTTTCATAGACCTATCCGCTGACACGTCCACTCCCAAATATCTGAATACATTCACCTCCTCCATACTCTCTCCCTCCAATCTGATATCCAATCTTTCATCACCTAATCTTTTTGTTATCCTCATAACCTTACTCTTTCTTGTATTCACTTTTAATTTTCTTCTTTTGTATACCCTACCAAATTCATCCACCAACCTCTGCACCTTCTCTTCAGAAACTCCCAAGAGCACAGTGTCATCAGCAAAGAGCAACTGTGACAACTCCCACTTTATGTGTGATTCTTTATCTTTTAACTCCACGCCTCTTGCCAAGACTCTCACATTTACTTCTCTTACAACCCCATCTATAAATATATTAAACAACCATGGTGACATCACACATCCTTGTCTAAGGCCTACTTTTAACTGGGAAATAATCTCCCTCTTTCCTACATACTCTAACTTGAGCCTCACTATCCTCGTAAAAACTCTTCACTGCTTTCAGTAACCTACCTCCTACACCATACACCTGCAACATCTGCCACATTGCCCCCCTATCCACCCTGTCATATGCCTTTTCCAAATCCATAAATGTCACAAAAACCTCTTTAGCCTTATCTAAATACTGTTCACTTACATGTTTCACTGTAAACACCTGGTCCACACACCCCCTACCTTTCCTAAAGCCTCCTTGTTCATCTGCTATCCTATTCTCCATCTTACTCTTAATTCTTTCAATAATAACTCTACCATACACTTTACCAGGTATACTCTGCACTCTCTTTTGTCCCCTTTGCCTTTATACAAAGGACCTATGCATGCTCTCTGCCAATCCCTAGGTACCTTACCCTCTTCCATACATTTATTAAATAATTGCACCAACCACTCCAAAACTACATCCCCACCTGCTTTTAACATTTCTATCTTTATCCCATCAATACCAGCTGCCTTACCCCCTTTCATTTTACCCACTGCCTCACGAACTTCCCCACACTCACAACTGGCTCTTCCTCACTCCTACAAGATGTTGTTCCTCCTTGCCCTATACATGAAATCACAGCTTCCCTATCTTCATCAACATTTAACAATTCCTCAAAATATTCCTTCCATCTTCCCAATACCTCTAACTCTCCATTTAATAACTCTTCTCTCCTATTTTTAACTGACAAATCCATTTGTTCTCTAGGCTTCCTTAACTTGTTAATTTCCTGTTATATTATCTGGAAACAATCTTCCTGTTATATTATCTGGAAACAATCTTCCTGTTATATTATCTGGAAACAATCTTCCTGTTATATTATCTGGAAACAATCTTCCTGTTATATTATCTGGAAACAATCTTCCTGTTATATTATCTGGAAACAATCTTCCTATTATATTATCTGGAAACAATCTTCCTGTTATATTATCTGGAAACAATCTTCCTGTTATATTATCTGGAAACAATCTTCCTGTTATATTATCTGGAAACAATCCTCCTGTTACATTATCTGGAAACAATCTTCCTGTTACATTATCTGGAAACAATCTTCCTGTTATATTATCTGGAAACAATCTTCCTGTTACATTATCTGGAAACAATCTTCCTGTTATATTACATGTATCTGGAAACAATCTTGCTGCTATATTATCTGGAAACAATCTTGTTGCTATATTATCCAAAACAACCTTCATTAACAAGCTCACTTACCGGGTCTCCACCTGATGCGAATGATATATTGGGCATATCGTGACAGGCAACCACTTGACCTGATTCCAGTATAGTTAGCGTGAGTGCTGTGCTGGTGATGGTCAGGTTGACGTTGCTACCAGCGTGTTCCATCATTGGTCGCTCTCCCAGGATTCGACTAATTGTCTTCACCACTTTTCTCTTACGATCTGCAGTCTTCAGACCCGCTGCTTCGCACACCTTGCTAATGCATTCTCTGTCGATTGTTGGAATTAGTTAATAAAAACAGCGTATTGTGATTATGAGATAAAATAACAGTAGTGTAACTAATAATTGATGCAAAAATTAGTCCCCCAACACACACACACACATGGAGACCAGGAGCTGTGAATCAACCCCTGCAACCACATATAGGTCAGTACACAGAGAGAAAGAATGAGAGAGAGAGAATCTGCTTTGCTAGCTGCAAAAACTTATCAAAGTTGTCAAGAGGTAACAATAAGGCAGAATGAAGTGCATTTTCTCCTTAATTAAATTGCTGGAACAAAAAAAATGCCATGGGTCCAGATAAGGTGAGCCCAAGATTGCTGAGCAGACATACAGACCAGTTAGCATCACCTCTAACTCACATCTATTACCACTTCCTAGCACAGTGTAAATGACCTCTGTGGAAAGAGGCAAATGTAGTCCCTCTGCACAAAGAGAAGAGCAGAGAGGAAATCAGCAACTACAGACCAGTGTCACTCTTGTCAAAATTCTTGAGACAATAATCTCACAGCAGATTTCTCAACTACCTCTCGCTTCCTTGCGGCCATCAATGTGGCTTCAGAAAAGGTCGTTCTGCTGCTGATCTGCCGTTAGACCTCTCCACTATGTGGCACCAGTCACTGGAAGAATCCAAGTTCAGCTGTGTAATAACACTGGACATTGATGGTGCTTCTTACCGAGTACAGCACCAGGGACTCTTAGCAAAACTGTAAGCACTAGGAGTCACTGACTCTGCACTGTCTCCTCAGTGATTATCTTCGAGGTAGAGCTCTAAGCGTAGTTCTCAATGGGACAGAATTAACAAGACACACTATTGGTGCAAGTGTTCCACTAGGAAGTGTGCTTGGGCCATTTTTTATGATATGTCTACTTCAATGAACTTCTTCAATTCAACTCAGAAGCTAATGCATAAGCATGGGATTCAGGGGTGAGAAAACAGAAGAGAACAGATGAGTGAGCCAGAAATAAATATGCCAGAATGAGGAGAGAGACTGAGAGACAATCTGAGAATGAAATAACAGCAAGGCCAAATCTAAACAAAAGTTCTTCACAGCAACATCAGAAGAAAGGCAATAATAAAGGACCAAGTAATTCTACTGAGGAAGGCAGGAGAGCTTACGAACAATAGCAAAAAAGTCTGTGAAGTGTTGATAAAATGATTTGAAGACATTTTCTCAGTGGAAACTGTGGCAGTACCAAGGGAATAAAGAACAAGGGGCACCCAGAAGTACTGGATGCCATTCACACAACAGCACAAGAGGTAAAGAATCTTTTGATGGACCTGAATACATCAAAGGTAATAGGACCTAACAATATTTCATCTTAAATTCTAGAACATGGTGCAGAAACACTGTCTCAACCACTGGCTATGATCTACAACGAGTCAATGGATACGGAACAGTTACCAGAAATCTGGAAGACAATAAATGTAGTCCCAATATTCAAGAAAGGAATCAGACAGGTGTTAAACTACTGACCAGTTTCTCTGACAAGCATACCTTACAAGGTAATGAAGAAATTTAACAAGGGAAGAGTGTTAGAGCACTTGGTGAGAGGTAGTTTAATAAACAATAACCAACATGGGTTTAGTGATGCCACATCTTGTCTTACTAACTTGATGGAGTCCTTTGACAAGGTAACAGACGTACGACAAGAAAGGAAAGGCTGGGTGTATTTTTTTTAGACTGCAAAAAAGGTGTTTAATACTGTACCCCACAAGAGATGAGCCAAAAACTTGACCTTCAGGCAGAAATAACAGGGAATGTATTCCAATGGTTCAATGAGTTTCTTAGGGAAAGGAAGCAGAGAGTGAGTATCAGGAAAGAGGCATCAGAAATGGCAAGAGTAGCCAGTGGGGTGCCCTAAGGATCAGTATCAGGACCAGTATTGTTTCTGGTTTATGTGAATGACATTCCAGATGAGATTGAGTCAGATATAAACCTGTTTTTCTCAAGAACATAATGAGCAAATATGGTAAACTGATCCCAATCCAAGGATTTGAAGCTACCCTCCACTTTCTTGTATGAAACCTGAATACCATCCCAGAGCAACCCTCCCCTGCCTTACATAAAACCTATTTACCACACCAGGGCTGCTTTCCCTTGCCTTACATAAAACCTGTTTACCTCCCCAGGACTGCTTTCCCTTGCCCTACATAAAAACTGGTTTACCACTCCAGGGATGCCTTTCCCTGCCTTACATAAAATCTGTTTACCACCCCAGGGCTGCCTTCCCCTCCCTTACATAAAACCTGTTTGCCACCCCAGGGCTGCTTTCCCCTCCCTTACATAAAACCTGTTTACCACCCCAGGGCTGCCTTCCCCTGCCTTACATAAAACCTGTTTACCACTCCAGGATTGCCTTCCCCTGCCTTACATAAAACCTGTTTACCACCCCAGGGCTGCCTTCCCCTGCCTTACATAAAACCTGTTTACCACCCCAGGGCTGCCTTCCCCTGCCTTACATAAAACTGCTTTACCACCCCAGGACTGCCTTCCCCTGCCTTACATAAAACCTGCTTACCACCCCAGGGCTGCCTTCCCCTGCCTTACATAAAACCCTCCCCCAGGGCTGTTATGACCCCTGTTCCCCATTAACATACAACAGTAAGTATTAACAGGTCACTTACTTGGCTATTAAGGATCTTGTGTCAAAGTTTAAGCTCTTCATAGATGTATTGACTTCTAGGCAACCAATGTAAATGTAAAGAAAATAGAAAAACATCCCTTAGACAGAGTGTTAAATATATATATATAAAATATATATATATATATATATATATATAAATATATATTTTATATAAAATATATATATTTATTTATTTTATTAACACACTGGCCGATTCCCACCAAGGCAGGGTGGCCCAAAAAAAAACTTTCACCACATTCACTCCCTCACTGTCTTGCCAGAAAGGGGGCCTTACACTACAGTTTTTAAACTTTCAACATTAACACCCCTCCTTCAAGTGCAGGCACTGTACTTCCCATCTCCAGGACTCAAGTCCGGGCCCGCCGGTTTCCCTGAACCCCTTCATAATGTACTTTGCTCACACTCCAACACAGTCAAGTATTAAAAACCATTTGTCTCCATTCACTCCCATCAAACACGCTCATGCATGCCCGCTGGAAGTCAAGCCCCTCGCACAACAAAACCTCCTTTACCCCTCCCCCCAACCTTTCCTAGGCCGGCCCCTACCCCCGCCCTTTCCCTTTCCCCTACAGACTGATACACTCTTGAAGTATTCTGTTTCGCTACATTCTCTCTAAAATGTCCAAACCACCTCAACAACCCTTCCCCAGCCCTCTGGCAACAGTTTTGGCAATTCCGCACTCCTCCTAACTTCCAAACTACGAATTCTCTGCATTATATTCACACCACACATTGCCCTCAGACATGACATCTCCACGCCTCCAGCATTCCTCGCTGCAACATTCATCACTCATCTTTACACCCAATAAGAGCGTTTTTTTAAAACTATATTTTCATACATTCCCCTCTTTGCCTCCAAGGACAAAGTTCTTTGTCTCCACAGACTCCTAAGTGCACCGCTCACCCCTTTTCCCTCATCAATTCTATGATTCACCTCATCTTTCATAGACCTATCAGCTGACACGTCCACTCCCAAATATCTGAATACATTCACCTCCTCCATACTCTCTCCCTCCCAATCTGATATCCAATCTTTCATCACCTAATCTTTTTGTTATCCTCATAACCTTACTCTTTCCTGAAATTCACTTTTAATTTTCTTCTTTTTGCATACCCTACCAAATACATCCACCAACCTCTGCAACTTCTCTTCAGAATCTCCCAAGAGCACAGTGTCATCAGCAAGAGCAACTGTGACAACTCCCACTTTATGTGTGATTCTTTATCTTTTAACTCCACGCCCTCTTGCCAAGACCCTCGCATTTACTATCTCTTACAACCCCATCTATAAATATATTGAACAACCACGGTGACACCACACATCCTTGTCTAAGGCCTACTTTTACTGGGAAATAATCTCCCTCTTTCCTACATACTCTAACTTGAGCCTCAATATCCTCTAAAAACTCTTCACTGCTTTCAGTAACCTACCTCCTACACCATACACCTGCAAACTCTGCCACATTGCCCCCTATCCACCCTGTCATATGCCTTTTCCAAATCCATAAATGCCACAAAACCTTCTTTAGCCTTAGCTAAATTACTGTTCACGATTACATGTTTCACTGTAAGCACCTGGTCTAACACACCCCCTACCTTTCCTTAAGCTTCCTTGTCATGCTGCATATGAGCTGTTCTCTGTCTTATTCCTTAATTCTCTTCAATATAACTCTACCATACACATTTATCCGCGTATACTCAACAGACTTAATTCCCCTAGAACTTTTGCACTCTCTTTTGTTCCCCTTTGCCTTTATACAAAGGAACTATGCATGCTCTCTGCCAATACCCTAGGTTCCTTACCCTCTTCCATACATGATTAAATGATAGCAACCAACCACACCAAAACTATATCCCCACCTGCTTTATAACATTTCTATCTTTAGTCCCATCAATCCAGTTTGCCTTAAACCCTCTTTATCATTTTAACCCACGCCTCACGAACTCCTCCAAACTCACAATGCTTATTCCCTCACACCACAAGTCGTTATTCTCTCTTTGCCCAATACTCAAAATCACAGCTCCTATTCTTCATCACATTTAACGAATTCCTCAAACATATCCCTCCCCATCTTCCCAAAACCTCTAACTCTCCATTGTAATAACTCTCCTCTTCCTATATTTTAACTGGGGGGGGACAAATCCATTTGTTCTCTAGCTTCCTAACTTTCAACTCACTCCAAAACTTTTCTTATTTTCGCACAACAAAATTTGTGATAACATCACACCCACTCTCTCATTTGTCTCTTATAGACATTGCTTCACCACTCTCTTAACCTCTCCTCTTTTTCTCCATTTACGCTTCCCATCCTTGCATTACTTCTACTTCGTAAAAACTTCTCATATGCTAACTTTTTCCTTCCTTACTACTATCTTACATCATCATTCCACCAATCGCTCCTGCTTCCCTCCCGCACAACCTCTTTTCCTGTAACCCACAAACTTCTGCTGATCACTCTAACACTATACATTTTTAAACCAAACCACCATACCTCTTTCGACCCATTGCCATGCACGCATTAGCCCATCTATCCTCCAATAGCTGTGTATATCTTACTCTCACTGCCTCCTCTTTTAGATTATAAACCCATCACCTCTCTCTTCCCTGATGCTTCTCTCCTCCTTGTACCCATCAAACTTTTTACCTCAGTGTAAAGCTACAACTAGAAATGATCTGATATATATCTGTGTGGCCCCTCTTTAAACATTTACGACCGTGAAGTCTAATTCTACAGTCATTAAATCTACCAAATACAGAATCCAACAACTACTGTCCCAGTCGCCCTACATAATTATTTTGCATATCTTATTTTAATCTTCTTTCTTAAAATATGTATTACCTATAACTAAAACCCCCTTTCTATAACAAAGTTCAAAGGCCTCCCATTTTCATTTACCACCTAGTCCCCCCAAACTTATCCTATACCACACTCTCCTCTAAAATTTCTCCTACTTTAGATTCAGGTCCCTCTAACCACAATAATACTCTCTCACTTCCGGTTAAAAGGTTCCTATACATTCACTATAACATCTCCCAAAATCTCTCTCTCATCCTCTACATTCCTATATATATTATATATATATATATATATAATCTATAAATATATATATATATATATATTATATGAATATATATATATATATATATATATATATATATATAAACATATAATACAGAGCGATAAATAAATTCAAACGTCCAGCATACACTTTTAATACATTATTCCATACTAATGCAGATGGTTTTCATTATACACATTCTATAAGCTAAGAAGAAAAATCTTTGAAGTGTAATAATGTGTGTACTGTATAGTATTTTTTAGGCCTAGCTCTATGTTCACTTAACAAATTATAGCGTAAAACATCTATCAGGCTTTTACCTCATCTGAAAGTGAAAAAAAAAGTCCTGTTCACTTAGAACAAGTCAATTTTAGCTTCACAGCCACTAGTCCCAGAAACCTAACCTTGGGCTGTCAAAGTGGGGCCCTACACTAGTCCAGAACCTAACCGTCTGTATACGTGGTGCCCTAACTAGTCCAGAACCTAACCTGACTGAAATAAGTGGCCCACACTAAGTCCAGAACCTAACCTGCAGTATAAGTGGGTCCTACACTAGTCCAGAACCTACCCTGCTGTATAAGTGGGGTTCCCTACACAATCTCAGAACCTAACCTGCTGTATAAGTGGGGTCCAACACTAGTCCAAACTAACCTCTGTTATAATGGGGTCCTACACTAGTCCAAACCTAACCTGCTGTATAAGTGGTCCTACACGAGTCCAAACCTAACCTGCTGTATAAGTGGTTCCTACACTAGTCCAGAACCTAACCTGTCTGTATAAGTGGGTCCTAGCACTAGTCCAGAACTAACCTGCTGTATAAGTGGGGTCCTACACTAGTCCAGAACCTAACCAGCTGTGTATAAGTGGGTCCTACACTATCCAGAACTAACCGCTGTATAAGTGGGGTCCTACACTATCCAGAACCTAACCTGCTGTATAAGTGTGGTCCTACACATCCAGAACTAACCTGCTTATAAGTGGGGTTCCTACACTAGCCAGAACCTAACCTGCTGTATAAGTGGGTCCTACACTAGTCCAGAACCTAACCTGCTGTAATAAGTGGGTCCTACACTAGTCACAAACCTAACCTGCGTAAAAGTGGGTCCTACACTAGTCCAAACCTAACCTGCGTATAATGTGGTCCTACACTAGTCGAACCTAACCTGGTCTGTATAAGTGGGTCCTACACTAGTCAAGAACCTAACCTGCTGTATAATGGTCCCCTACCTAGTCCAGAACCTAAGCCTGCTGTAAAAGTGGGGTCCTACACTAGTCCAGAACCTAACCTGCTGTAATAATGGGGACCCACACAGTTCCAGAACCTAACCTGCGTATAATGGGGTCCTACACTAGTCCAGAACCTAACCTGCTGTATAAGTGGGGTCCTACACTAGTCCAGAACCTAACCTGCTGTATAAGTGGGGTCCTACACTAGTCCAGAACCTAACCTGCTGTATAAGTGGGGTCCTACACTAGTCCAGAACCTAACCTGCTGTATAAGTGGGGTCCTACACTAGTCCAGAACCTAACCTGCTGTATAAGTGGGGACCTACATACTATGTCCAGAACCTAACCTGCTGTATAATGGGGTCTACACTAGTCAGAACCTAACCTGCTGTAATTAATGTGTGGGTTTCCTACACTAGTCCAAACCTACCCAGCTGTATAATTGGGTCCTACACTTGACCAGAAGCTAAAACCTGCTGTAAAAGTGGGGTCCTACAACTAGTCCAAACCAAACCTGCTGTATAAGTGGGGTCCTACAACTAGTCCAGAACATCTAACCTCTGTATAATGTGGGGTTCTACAACTACCAGAACCTAACCTGCTGTATAAGTGGGGACCCTTACACTAGTCAGAACCTAACCAGCTGTAAAAGTGGGGTCCTAACACTATCCAGAACCTAACCTGCGTTTATAAGTGGTCCTACACTAGTCCAAACCTAACCTGCTGTAATAAGTGGGGTCCTACACTAGTCCAGAACCTAACCT